TATATATATAATATGTTAAAAAACATAACTAAAGTGCCACTAGTCGAAGCCTAGGATGTTACATTATCTCGACAAAATAAATACATTTCTCTTCTTCTGTTTCTTCTCTTTCTTAAAAAACGTAACCTCCACACTAGGATTTTCTCCTGTATCGTCGGAGCAGTTTACAAACATAAATTGCAATTTTATGTTTATAGACCATACAAGTACTTGTTCCGTTCGGGATTCGAATCCGCGGCCCTTAGCGCTGCAACTCAATTGCTAAGTCACTGCGCCATGGTGCCGTCCAAACATTGTGTGGAATTAAAAAACGAAAGACTTAAAGTAGTTTTATGTAAATGAAACAAATGTTTGATTTTACGTGGTAGAGCCAAGTTGCAGCTATATTTATAATATAGTTGTAGCACGAATGTATCGGCTAGACCGGGGTAGGACCACGCTCTCACAGAATACCAGCGTAAAATAGCAGCTTAATGCTGTTGTGTTTCGTATGGTGAGTGTAGAGAATCGGATACCCTTTTTACTGGAAAAGAGGCATTCCGGCTCAAGGCTGACAACGCATCTGCATTTTGATTCGTAAAGGAGGATAGATGTAGATGTCTATGGGCCACACAACCACTTACCATCAGGTGGACTGTGTGCTCGTTTGTCACCCTATTTCTATTAAAAAAAATCCATACCTGTCCTGTGTCGGCGGTGAAAGAGAATTCAACAGCCCATTCCGTACCATAGTTGTGGTTAGAGGGATACGCCAAAAATATCTTAAAATACACACACCAGTGACAACTGCATCAATAACGCTAGACATATGTTACCGCGATCATCAATCCATATGCCAACTATGAAAATTAAGGCAAATAACAAAAGAGATTCATGCCATGAACTTTTACAGGTTGATGATGAAGAACAATAAATGTTCATTAAAAGTGTTGATTTTTAAAGCCATTGTACTGAGACGTGATTTTATTGAACACAGTAGTAGTTCTTGTACGGTTTGTGCCATTTCCACAGCTGTGGCGTAGATTACTCATGAAAAGCAATGTAACCGATTTATAACTTACAATATCCCACAATTGTTTGCTGTTGGTCCAATAAATGATTCATCTATTACATCAGATACTTGTGATTGGATTTAATTAATTGCTTTGTAAAAGGATGAATAAAAAATCCTAACAACAGTACAAAGAACCAAATATGAATATAGTTTCATATAGTAGTTGTATATGATCCGGTATTCATCAGGTAGAAAAATATTATATGGACAATATTACTTTTTTTAGGGTTCCGTACCTCAAAAGGAAAAAACGGAACCCTTATAGGATCACCTTGTTGTCCGTCTGTCTGTCTGTCAGTCTCAGGAACGCGTGGAGGTATCAAGCTGAAATTTATATCAAATACTCAAGTCTACTGTCCCTTGAAGCTGTGACAAAATCAAACTTCTAAGCCAACGCAATCAAAATATATAACCGTTTATGCCGCACATTTTAGATATTCGCAAGGGAATCAAAACCTACATCGTACTTCCCGTGAACTTAGAATTTTAAAATTTGGTACCAAGCAACGTATTATAGCACAGATAAAGGAAAAATTGCGGAAAGCATAAATTTTTGGTTACATCATATAATAAAAATATTTTTAATAATTTTAAACTTATATACCTACGGATTTGTTCGGAACCCTCGTTCCGCGAGTCCGACTCGCACTTGGCCGGTTTTTTTATAGAATAAGGGTGACAAACAAGCACACAGTCCACCTGATTGTAAGTGGTTGCTGTGGCCTATAGACATCTACATCTATCTTCGATTGCGAATTAAAATGCAGATGCGTTTACATGTACTATAACCGCCGATCAAAAGTCCACTGCTGAACATGAGCCTAGATTGCTTCATAGTTATATTTGCCGAAGTTGCCACGCTTGGCAAGCGGGTAGGCAACCGCAGCTTTTTTATTTATATGAATCTGTTATCAGGAAGACGTTGCTGCTGATCTCCTGGTTCAGCTTCGTTCTGTTGCCTCTTACGACATCCACGGAATGCTATGGGGTAGTGGATATTCTTATACCGTCAGTATGCGATATTAATGTTTTACAGTACATATTTATTATAATTTCATTTCAATTAATATCGTCCTTTATAAAAAATGTATCTGAAAAAAAAAAATACAAAAATGATCAGACAAACAGGTCCATTTATATGGACGATGCAATCAAATATCGAATAACAAATTTAGGGTCGAAAAATAAAAATAAAATATTAAAGGATACAGCCATACTGCTAAGTCATACATGCAATTAAAGTGTATGAATACTTATATTATCATGTGTTTTAAGAATAAGAATATTATCATGTGTTAATTACTTAAAAAATAATGAATCTGAGAGCACTTTACCAAGTAAAAAAGTAATTTTGATTATAAATTTGATTTTGATTATTCATTCATTACAAATAATAATTTTATTTTTAACTTGTGCGTACAATATGATTGTAATAGTTACATTCGCGACGTTTAACTTAGAGATTTTTAATGATACCGATTTCTTTTTCACATTTCATTTTTATTTGAATTTAAGAACTACGCTCGAGGAGTAGAGTCGGTATTGTAAGCCTGTGTTCGTTTTCGCCAAACACTAATTCGTTGTATGACACAATACCAGCTTAACCTTTTAACTGATCTTTGTAACTCTTTCTTGGTCTATTTTTATAGGGGAGGAGTTAAACGAGTATGCAACTCACCTGATGTTAAGTGAATACTGCTGCCCACAAGCAACTGCAACACCAGGGGAACCTCTTCTCTTTCCGTCTACCTTTCCTTTATGTATGTTCTTAATACAATTGTTATATCGTAGCAAGTAACCACCCATAGAGTTGCAGTTGTATTGACTTTTGCCCAACAATCTTCTCCATCAGCCCTAAAATTGTAAGAAGTAAACTCTCTTTGAAGGAGAGAAGACCGACCGAAGACCTCTTGTAAGACCGTTTGAAACGAGTATTTACCGTAATCTTTTCGTTTGACCAGATCAGTACCAGGCCGTCGACGTTTCGCACGTTTGATGTTTCTTCCTGTTTATTATCTGGATAACCTACGTATAGACTAAACGATATGGTTATACAGGCATCTATCGGAAGCCATGAGATTTTCTTGGAGTTAATATGATTGCCTGCTTTGACACCTAAGGGACGAAACGGGGTGATGGATTCCTTTAAGCTGCCATCAATTGGAAATACATAGCATGACTTATTTAATAAATAAAATTTTTTCAACAGACTATTATATAATATTATAAAAAAATCCAGTTAATCGGGTTCAAAAAACGAATTTTTTTTGGATATAGCAACACCCAAATGGAAGTTGATTCTATGAATTCTACAATAGAGCACCAACTAAAAGTAAAGTAAAGCTTAAGTAACAGCTAAATTTAAAAGTTGAATATCTATTCAAGTATCCTGTTAAAGTAAGAAATACCAGTTGACATACAATATAAAGTATTTGACTAACAACTACTTTAATTTTTTGACCAACTTAAGTTCTACTAATGTATACGTCAAGGAAGATCCAAAGAGGATTTAAAAGTAGCCATAACCATGATATTATAATCAAAGATATTTAAGAACTAGTATTAAATACGTGAAGAATACGTTCCGAATCGCTTAGTTGTTTTAGTAATGATATTAGCTATATTTTACCACACCCTAGGTTGACAAGGAGATAATCCATCTATCCATTCTATTAAAGTCCACTGCTGAACATATACCTCACTCATAGATTGCCTCATGGTGGATTTTGGCATAGCTTCCACGCATGGCAAGCGGGTTGGCAACCGTAGTTCTTTATTATTTTGAATTGTTATTAGAAAGATGCTGCTGCCCATCTATTGTCGTTTTCATTTTCCCTCTGATGAAACCCTCGGGACGACACTGACGATATAGGGCAGTGGATATTCTTACACTGCCACTACACGGTTAGAAGAAAAGAATACCAAAAGACAATGTACGCCATTTGTAACCTACATTTAAGGAGAGAACAATAAAGCATAAATAAAAATATGAATAAATATCCACTTTTTAACCAAAATTAATTAGAGATGTAAGATAAAATTATGTCAATAGTATATATATATATATATATATAAATATATCTTTTGGTTTTATTTTTAAAGCCTTACATTCAGATGCGACGTTCAGGCTTTAGATTTACAGACAATGATTCATTTTAATAACGGTTCATGGCGGCAATGTTCCGTTTCCTTTTAGTGATGTATTAACAAAAGTTTATCTGTGAAACTTTTAAATTAAATTTTCAGCACCATGGTAGACCATCGGTGGTAAGATGCGTTTAAATATCTTCGAATATAAAAATTGCTCAAGGTCGTCTGTCGGTTTGGAAATTGATGATTTTAATTAAAGACATTATTTTCATATATGTTTCTATTTTTTATTCATACGTGTCCGTGTGTATATGAATAATTGTCATTTTTTGTACTCAAATTCCATTAAATTATTAATAACTAAATACCTAGTGCTTCTTGCCATTAAAACATGAAATAATGTTCATCGTGGAAGCGACAAATATCTGGTTCTTGATATCAGTTAATGGCTAGAAATTTAAAGAATGCAGAAAGAATTGTAGTTGCATCGATATTTAATTTAATTCAATTGTAATTTTATCTTTTATTAAAACGACATTTCAAATGGCAACAATTAGAAATGGTCAATTTGAACGGAATGTGAGCAGCGGAATTCCTAAACTGTTAGTAGAGTAAATGAAATATTACAAAGTTCTTTTTATATACTAAAAGTGTTTGTCACGGGATAGTGAGCCACCCTGATGGAAGGATGAGGCGAGCGCGGGGTATGCGCGGGCGGCGACGTCGCTTTTCACCGCCGGAGTTACTTGTACGCCTACCCGATATAAAAGCCTCAATCGCCCATTCACCCGCTCGCAGTGTGTGTTCGAACGTTAAAGTGTCCACTACTCCTGTGCAAGGACATAAAGTTCAGACCATGTATTCACGGTGTTTGTTAGTGCTAGCAGCCGCCCTCGGCGTGGGTATGTAGAATTTGAAATATTTAGGGTGCGGCGTAGGCATCAGATGGTTGAGGTGCCTAGTGATCGACTGTGGAACAATCTAGAGCGGTGCTGAGAAGCACTAGCTTGCGTTGTTAATAATAGCGCCATTGGATATCAAAAGCTGCGAAAGTGTGGCCGATGTCACTGCTTATACACTAGCGTGCCGAGAATGTGTGCAGTAGACGATTGCTGTGGATAGAGAAACCGCGCGGGCAGAAATTTTCCACGGTCTTTAACTATGATATATGTCGAAGACAATGACACTTTTTTGCAGTGTGCATAGACATGCTAGTTGTTTGAAATATTTACGCATTCTAAATATTCTTGTATTTGTGTTTTGATATGAGTTTTGCCAATTTTTTAATGATTTATCAGTAGTAGTGTAACGCCAGCACATAAACTTAAAAAGCTTTAAGATGAGATATAATTTCAGGAGGTTCATATAGTTAGGACGTAATTGAAGCTCATCAAAAAATCTTCTAGAATTAAAGTTTGCTTCAATTTGTTTTGTGTTATGGCGACTTACTTTCACTTTATACAACGTTTTTATTATCTCATATTTTTCTGTTTATCGATTCAAATCTGACTGTACAATTTTTTAAAATCGGGTTTTAACTAATATCCTGGTGAGCTAGCGGCTTGCAACTTGAAATATTGCTAAGAAATAAATATAAAGAAAGAAATAAATAATAAAATTAAAATGTAATATAAACTCAATTTCATGTCTGTTTGTTTGTTTCTGAGTCTGCTCGGTACAAATTTTGCAATCGACTTTATATAGATCTTTTCTATGAGCTAGGGGAAAATTTAAGCATTGTTAAAAACTGGATGATTATTCAATATAAACTCATTCTAATTATCTGTTTGTTGGTTTGTCTTTTAGATAAAAAAAATCGATTTTCAAATAACATTCCTATATTCTAGATACTGGCAAATTTAAATAGAGCTCAGAACTAGATGATAATGCAATATAAGGAAAGGTTCTCATCTGTCTGTTTATTTGGTCTACTTGGTACAAATTTTACAATCGATTTTAAACTATACTATAAACTTACTTACCGATTGAAGCTTTAAGCATAGCTTAGAACTAGAAACTTCATAAATAGTGTTCGCCATTTTGAATTACAATTATTGCTGTAATATATGCGCAATTTTTATTTTCACGAACATTATAATGAATTAACAATATATTAAGACTTCATCTCAATAAAGTAAGCAAAGCACGTCTGTCTCGTAAATCAAGAAAAGCAATGATTTTCTTGATTTAGTCAAGTATGGTAAAATGATATAAGATTGCAAAAACTTTAATGACTTAAAACGTAAAATACAATGTTATTTACGTAATATATTTACGAGAAATTGTAAATGCAACAAATTTAATTCGGACAAGTACTTTCAGTTGTCAAGAAATATTTTAAACTCTCGAAATCCCAATCATATCAAGAAATATTTTAAGCTCACCGAATATTTTAGTAACAAGGACAAGAAAGGAATGTAAATCTTTCTGCACAACAACTTAGACACCATCAATAAGAGTGTAAGGCATGCGTTACCTTTTTTAATTTTTTAACGAGGCACATGCTATTGTTTAGAATTTCCAAACACGTACAAAGTTCTCACGAAAGAAACGTGTTGACTACGTGAAGAACCTTCTACGCATATAAGTGCAAACGAAAAAAAAAGGTTTGAAATGAAAATGAACAATGTACATATGAAGTAAATTTCAATAACCGCTGCAATTATTTATTCACAGAGGTAATATTGCGTGAAGCTATTCAATTATCAAGAATTACGGTGCGTGTATAAGTTTCACTAGAAGAAAATACGGTGAAAATTATTTGACTGCTTGAGTGCGCATGGCATTGAACTGGGACAGATCGCAATCTCGTGTTCACTATCGTAGTTTACGCGAATGTTGTGCGAAATATACATATATAATTTTGTATTTATTATGACGACAATAATTCTGACATTTGTTCCTGAAATGGGAAATAATTTATGGGCGGATTAATGGAATTTATGGATTTCTAGACCTTACTATTTGAATTGCTTTTAAACGTCGTAGAGCCATGCTGCAGCTATATTATGGTTGTCGCACGAATGGGTCGGCTCAACTACGGAAAGACCACGCTCTCGCAGAAAGCCACCTTAAAATAGCAGCTTTATAATGCTGTGTTTCATATGGTAATTATAGAGAACTGGACCCTTTTTACTGGATATCAGGCATTCCATCTTAGTTCTTTTGATACGGGAATAAATGTAGATGTCTATGGGCCACAGTATCTACTTACCTTTAGATGGATTATGTGATTGTTTGACATACTTATTATATTAGACAAAAAAAGACTCACTTGACTATGGTAAATTGTTAGGAAAAATGTTCCCAAGTTATTAACTTAAAAAAAATCATGAAAATATTGCATTGACTATATGTATCAACCGGTGGATGTCGTAAGAGGTAAACCAGGAGGTGGGCATCAACGTTTTCTTGTTAATAGCTTAAAATAATAAACAACTGCGGCTGTCAATCTGTAAAAGTCAAAAGCGTGTCAACTGTTGCAAATATCCCCAATATGAAACGATTAATGGAAAAAGCCTATCCAGCAGTTCAGTGGACTTGTAGCACGCTATGATTATATATGAAAGACACACAAAAACATTGCTTCTGTGATACATATATTCAAGTATGTAAAAAGATTGTGTGCAATATTTATTACAATAAAAGCAACTAAAATTAAAGAAGTAATTTTAAACGCATGGCAGGCGGCTTGGCAACCTTCGATTTTTTAATATTTTGAGGTTTTATCAGGAAGGTGCAGCTGGCCATCTCTTGTTTCATCTCTCTCTGTCGCCTCTTGTGAAATTGGCATCGCTTTACCCTAACATTTGCATCTCCTATCACATTTATGTTTTTGTGGGATATAAATACTACATTTCTAAATAACGAGTACATCTAAAAAAAATTAAATAATATTAAATAGATAAACAATTTTGAAGAAAGACTAATTTTTTCTAGTAAATCATTTTCAATAACAAAAATGTATTGACAAGTATTGGGTTACGTTACAGGCACCGGTATATAGGATACGGTGATTGTCTGTCCTTCGTGTTGTTGTTTTATAAATAACTTTGTATCAGATCTAGGTATAGTTTTAGGTAGATTTGTTGTTTTCTGTTTTAAATTCCGTCCTTTACTACCTGTTAAGGCAACTCACGCAGATACCATCCTGTTTGCAATAATTTTTTCAACAGATTTCATTTAAAACAATCTATCGACAGAGTTTGAGTTGCTATAAGTTTTCGTATCTTTATATTAAATGTTCCATCATTTTGAGGTAACCAGTTGCACTTTATTGCCTTTTGTATCATATATTTACCGATATTCGAAGTTTTGTGTTTATTTCCATCATAATTATTGCTTCGAATCTTCAAGTCGACAAACTGCAGTGAAATTGTTATGAAACAAAATAAATTTACTGTTTACTAATTGGTTATATAATATTTAATGTTACCTACATGCTTTTGTCTCTCATTTAAGAATATTTATTGCTTATTAAAACATAGCTTGTGTAATTGAAGTATTAGTGTTGCCCAAGCTATGTTACCAAAGCTAAATAGCTTACTTTAATAGCCAAAGATTATTTCGTAAGATTTAAATAATTTTAATGATATTCACAGGTGACATAAACATGTTCATTAATTAAAATTTTCTTGTAACTCATTTTTAAATTTTCAGTTAAAACGCGATTGAGGTTTAGATGGAACTTTTTTGTGTTACGAAATAATATGTTATTTGGTTTAAGTTAATGAATGTTTAAATGTAGCTGTGGTAAGTAAGACAATTAAAAGAGCTAATTATTATTTATTTTATTACGGAAGAAAGAATTGTAAGCAGTATAAAAGTAAAAACCGAAAGCGGACGAACTTTCACCAACAGTGCATAGTGGGCAATAGCTGTTATCTAATGAGATTTTAAATGTTACGTCAAATGCTCTCACGTGTATTATAAATAGGCGTTATAAACTAAATAGAGAACGAGGTTTGAAGGATTGTTCTTGAGCTCCAAGCATAATTACATAATAAATTAGAATAGTTATTAATCGCATCAAAATCAATTATATTTTATTCCGCTTGCCAAGTAGAAAAGTCAAAGAGAAGAAGAACGTTTAAATATACAATAAATTTTTTATCCTGCCTTTTGTATTAATATTAAGAAATCACCGAAAATTTTACATTTATTAGATCTTTATATTACTGTTTCCTCCAAGACTATATCGGAATAATTGAATATGCAGAATCTGATTATATCATTAATCAATAATTCTATTATTATTGATTCGATAAATGAATTAATATCTAGATAAAGGTCAAACGTCAGACAAGATTGCTTAACCAGATGCGCGGGCGCATCAAGGTGTTAACGAAATCGAAAGTTCCACCGATGCTTGCTCTCTGGGTCAATTTTAGAGGCTTTCACATGTATTACTTAACAGTTTTTGACCTTTTTATTGTATAATATTTATTATGTAAGGCTATTTATATATATAGTGCCGATATGGTTGCTAAATATGCTTAGTCTCTTGTCTGTAAAATATATGAATTTATGACATAGATTTGTATTGGTTAGAGGATATTAGGGTCAGACTTACAGGTTAAACAGTGGTAGAGCCACGTGGCGGCTTTTGCTGTCGCACGAATGGGCCGGCTCGAACCGGGGTGGTACCACGACCTCACAGAATACCAGCGTGAAGTAGAGGTTAACCTCTGCGTTTCGCTTGGTGAGTGCAGGTGGCCGGAGGCCCTTTTTACTGGAAATGAGGCATTCCATCTTAGTCCTCACGGGTGACAACGCATTTGCATTTAGATTTGTAATAGAGGATAGATGTAAATGTCTATGGGCCGCAGCAACCACTTACCATCAGGTGGACTGTGTGCTCGTTTGTCACCCTTATCATATAAAAAAAAGACTGTAATTTTTTTATATTTGTTGCCTAATAGAAGAGCAATTTTTTATTTTTTTCTAAAATGTTTTATGCCTTCTATACATAGCCTCCAAAAATAGCTGTTTATATTTATATTATAGCCTCTTGTCGCAGCTGTATTTTTATTCTGTAGCATTTACAAATAATATCATCATAGGATACTATTTTTTATTGGAAGTAGATAACTTGTAACGAAAACAATATTTCAGTCTTTTAATTATTTCTCTTTTTAAGTGTGTCATGTTATTTTGAGATCAAGTTGGAAACTGAAGTCATCACTGCGAGTTGTGCAAGCGATTATGTCGACATGTCGATAATTATGTCATCAACATGCGAGGCTTATATGACATTGCCAAAGGGGATTTTCTTACACAATGCGTACTGCGTATTGTAAATTTGCATGTTTCTTTCACTTTGAATATAATATAGTATAATGCTGTTTCATAATTGTTTAAATTTCTCAACTTTATGAAGAAAGTTTATTTATCTTACTTATATAGAAATTAGTGCTGATAATAATGGAGAAAATATATATTTTTTGCATTATTCATAACTAGATGAGTGTTAGCGCAAAAAGAGAGCACATAAGTAAAATATTTAGAAAATTGTAACGCAAATTCACATAGTCTTTTTTAAAATTCCTAAAAATTAGTTAAATCGTAATTGTAGAGTGAGTTTATTGTTTGTTAATTAAGAATGTTTGAACACAAAATTTTTCGTACCAAAATAATATAAGTGACGGAATTAAAAATAAATTGGAGGGAAATACGTTTCCTTGCGGTTTCATGCTATTTTTCATTTAACCGTTTATTAAGTAATAATCTTGCTTCAATAGTTAAATAACTAGCAAGAATGTAAGGTCCCTTAAAGGAACCTGTTTGGCCTCGATTTAACATGTGTAAATAACAAAAGTTGTTTAAGACAGTAATGATTGTTACGACTATTCTATTCCATGATAAATAAATCATGTCATTTGTAAATTAACATTTAATTAAAACTATCAAAAGAGTAAATATAATAATAACAGAAAACAAAACGATTTGTCTTCTGTTATGGTGAAGTAAATAAAAGTTACAACCAATAGACGTCTCACAGTTGGGGACTTATCTTTCCATTTCTGCGATGCTTATTAAGGTTTTAATCCGCTGTGCTACTCCAGTGTATGTTGGCAAACTTCATGTCTTAGTTATGATGACTGTTTGTCTACGATTTTTTCCTTCACTGCCGAGCAAGTGCCAGTGGGAAGGAAACTGAGTTGCTCACGGACTGCTTAATTTACGGCAAGCGTTTAGCCCCTGAGCTACCATAGTTCTTTACATACTTACATTAAGTATATATACATATATATATATATATATACTAGTTTACGAACGGAAATCAAAAAGCGATGGAGAAAAAGTAGGCTCTCGGGCGTGTTTGATTTGTGTGTTTGTAGAGCAACATAACCTAGAAAACTATTGCAGTTATAGTGATTACGTGATTAGCACTTTGGCAATATGTATTTAAGCACGTTGAAATGTGAATGGTTTCTGTTGAATAACCAAATTGTAGAATCATATACAAGAGATCAATATCACTCATGTTATAGTTAATTTGAATAATAAAAAATATTGAATTTCTATTTAACAAACAAAGAAAGTAAACAAAAATACCCCACTCATGCAATAAATATAAAGAATTACTCATTTATTAGTGATTGAAGATTGAGATGAACTATTTAGATTTACCATACATTTTTACCATTTTAGTGACTTGATTTGACACCAGCTACATATTTATTGTAAAAAAATATATTTTAAAGTTCAATTTAATAGTAATTTTATATTTTAGTAATTTTTCCTCAAACTCGAGGCTTAAAATACTACAAATTAAAAAGATCTGAAGGTTTTTCACAACTTCTGGTTTCGTATTAAAGCCGCAAATGTCAACCAGAACTACCGGTGAGTTGGTGCAAACATGACATAACATCGCGGAAAATGTGGAAGTATTTACACTCCATATTCGTAAGTAAACGAGATAGTTGAAAACTTGTTTTATAGTTTTTAGTTCCTTCTTAATGGGTAAGAATAACAAAGTCACGAAAATATACTTAGGGATGTTTTTATACAAGCAGTAAAAACATAATATGACATTAAACACGTTTCAGAATAGTAATAAAAGAAAGCTTAAGAAAACAATACATATATTGTAATTAAATACGTATGAAATAAGAATAACTATGAATGCAATAAAGTTAATGTATATTTTACACCAGTCGCATAATATTTCTCAATAACAGTTTGTCGTATTGCATTCCGTAAAGAAAGAGCGGCCCTGCCTGTGAACGGTGCTTAGTGAAATCAGTTGCGTGCTGCAATCATAGCTTTGTAAAATCCCCTGTCGTTTATTTGAAAGTTTAATATTAATTCAAAAATACGTTTGTGATGCAATATTATGATATTGTATTTTTAAATATTGGCACTTTATCAAAATGTAATTCATTGCGAAAATTCATTTATCGACTTTTATTATTTAAAGTAAATATGGTGTAGTTCTCAAATCGAACAGTTTTATAATTTTTAATTTTGGAATAAAGTATAGGCAGTTAGAAATTTAAATTATTTACAGATATTATCTTTTGTTACAGCTCTTGCTCAGGAATCCTTTAAATGCCCGGATGACTTCGGTTTCTACCCACACCAAGTGTCTTGTGACAAGTATTGGAAGTGCGACAATGGCGTCGCGGAACTGAAGACCTGTGGAAATGGACTTGCTTTTGATGCGACTGACTCTAAATACCTCACTGAAAACTGCGACTACCTTCACAACGTCGACTGTGGCGAAAGGACACAACTTGGTAAGTTTGAACATTTACATGTGGTAGAGCAACGCTGCAACTATATTGTGGTTGTAGCACGAATGTGTTGACTTGGCCGGGAAGGACCACGCTCTCACAGAATACCAGCGAAAAATAGCAGCTTAATGCTGCTGTGTTTCGTATGGTGACGTTTGTGAATCGGCGACTCTTTTTTACTGGAAACGAGAAATTTCATGTTAGTCCTCAGGGGTGACAACGCATCTGCATATTGATTATTATTCGTTGATAAATGTACGTCATGGTCCATAGCAACGACTTATCACTAGGCGGACTGTGAGTTTGTTTGTTACCATTATTCTAAAAATAAAAATTAAAGGTATTCAAAAGTTTCGAAATCCAATCATTTAAATCTATATTTAAAAAAGTTATAAACAGGTTTCTCAAATTCGATTCATGGTCAAGGTTAAAAAGTATTAATATTTAAATTTATGCGTATTTTGCTTACCAGGATGTAGTCAGAAGGTCGTTGGTCATTTCACATATTAAGAGTGTCTCTTAAGAGTGATGAAAAATTTGCTTAAAAATATATTAACATAAATTATATTTTTGTTAAACGGCTTTTTTTAACAATCAATCAATAATCTTCGTCTAGATATTAAATAAACCATCTTTCTTCTCAGAGCCCCCTATTTCAACTCCCCACTGCGAGAGGCTGTACGGTATCTTCCCTGATGAGAAGTCCTGTGATGTATTCTGGAACTGCTGGAATGGCGAAGCCTCCCGATACCAATGCAGCCCTGGTCTTGCTTATGACAGAGAAGCGCGTGTGTGTATGTGGGCTGACCAGGTCCCTGAGTGCAGAACTGAGGGTGAGTGCGAAAAATCAAATATCAAATCTTAAAACACGTCATAGCTTATTCAGAAATTAAAATTTAATTTTAACAATAACGTTAACGACTGTTATAAGCAAAATGTAAAAAGAAGGAAAAATTTAACTGTCAACATTTTTGATTATTTGCTTACCTATAATTTTTTTTATTTGATTACGTATAAGGAATGACGTTTAGAAAAGTATACAATAATTACCTTAAGAAAAATAAGCAATTAGATTCTATCCTATATGTTTACTGTACTAGTTTGTTTTCTTAATGTTTAACTTTGATTCTCGTTAGTGACTTAATTTTATTACGATTCACAGAGGTTGCTAACGGTTTCTCTTGCCACATTCCTGGGGAGTCAAGTGTGGTCGGTTCCTTCAGCCGTCACGCTCACCCCGAAGACTGTCGTAAATATTACATCTGTCTTGAGGGATCCGCCCGGGAGTACGGTTGCCCAATCGGAACCGTCTTCAAGATTGGAGATACTGACGGCACAGGCAACTGTGAAGACCCCGAAGACGTTCCCGGATGGTGAGTACTATTTTAAAATTTCAAATACTTACCCTCTATTATTCTATAGACGTTTAAGTAAATCAGTCTTGACTCAGTACTTGAACGTTACTTTCTTAATTTCTTCTATGTACACTGGTTCAATCACTGGTTACGTGGTGTTTGATCAGACTGTTTTAACACTTTAATTAGAAATCTGGCCTTATGATCCCATTCCGTAACGTCCCTGTGACTAACAATTCTTATGCACTTTATGATACAAAAATCAAATGTTTTTGTGTGCATTTGTTCATAGACATAGTATTTATGTTATTTAGTTTAAGAAAACATCTGAATTTTGCTGTGGAAAAGTTAGTGAAAAAAACCGTTGAGAAAGTCCGTTGCCTTGCGATTAATAACGAAAGAAATTACATTTACGTATAAAGTACCACAGTCGTGTAAAATACAGGCTAGAATTAAAATAAGTATACTTAATGTAATAGGCCCGTCCCCTTCGAGAAACTAGCTTGCTTTCCTTTGGTAACTCATGTATTCCAATGTGTTTCAAAGACAAGGGAGGATGCTTCGCTGGACCACGCCACAAAGAAAAAAACCGATCTTTGGTTTAGAGCACTAGAGTACCGGCTTTTTGCCTAAATTCAACTCCCAAGTTTTTTACAATCTGTTCGATCCGCTGGCGTTTTAAAGAGACGTTGAATCTCTTAATATGGAGCGCTATGAGGAATTATTTGGATTAAATCCAGCAGCAATTTCTCGATCGTATACTGCGCTAGAACTCTTAATTCTATCCACATCAATATGATTTTCTGTCACACGCTACCACCTTGTAACATTTATTGTCATAAGTAAATTTTCGGACAGATATTACTTAGGAGTCTCCAAGAAAAGAGCCTACTCAGTTCTAAAAGGCCGGCAATGACCCTGCAACTCCTCTAGTATTGCAGATGTTCATAGGTGATGGTGATCACTAACCATCAGGTGAGCTGAATACTCGTTTACCTTCACTTATATAAAACAATAGGTCAGTTTTATGATTAGCAAGACTTAAGGTATCACCACGTGAGTAAAGAAACCGTACCGTAGTATCAATGTATACTTGCACAAGAACATTCGTTAACTGTGGACAATCGTAGTCAATGCCGACGTATGTGTTGTAATATATTATGTATACGTATAATCACACCCCAGCGCTTAACATTAAAGTAAAATGTTGTTCTTTATTTCACTGCGACCATTTAAATTATCTATTAGTACCATGTAATTTATTACTAGTTAAATGTTTTTTTAAGTCCCAAAACACAATGTTTCATACAAGGGCACTACTTTGCAACAATGATTCCTTTCGTTTATCTCCAATTCATGGTCCGTCTGTTTCGAACAATTACTTTTGAGAACTGGGATGTGTCTTGGTTGATCACAATTGAAAGATTTAATGAAGGTCAACGTAGCCTTGTTTTAAATCCTTACAAGCTTAGTATCTTAATTCTTTAGTAACTTTTAAGAACTTACAAAAGAATTAAGTATATAAATAAATGTAAGTAAGAAAAACGATTGGTTTCGTATTCTCGTTTCGAATTCAAGGCAATTCAGTAGATATCGAGTGTTGTGCACAAGTTTTATTACACAATTTTAAATTCTCTTAATCATACTTAATACTATAATTATAAGTTGCTCATAGTAAAAGTTGCACGAGCTTAGCTAAGTATAACTCTTACAATTAAAGTAAGAAAATTAAAATTATAGTATTATATAGTAAAAGTTGAGTAGTAGCGACAAGCAGTAAGGTTCGCGTACATTTTCAGCGAGGACTACTATGGTGACTTGGATTTGAAGACAATCCGCAAGAACGAACTTCTATCTGGACTCCCGCACGACAGCCAGGCCCGCAACCCACAACCCAACAAGCAGGTTAAGCCCCGTCCCACTAAGGAGAACTAAACATAACTTATCCCCACCTTAAACCCTTAATACTCAGATTTTTTTACTTTAAACAACCCCGCGCACTAAAAACAATGAGCACGACTAATGTGTGACTTATGTGAATAGCACAGGTTGAATTTAAATTTCGTCATAAAAAAAATAGTTTTCGGTGCGCGGAGATCGTGTTCCAGGTTCAAATTTGAAATTAGAATGTTAAGTGACTGAAGCCAATCGATTTGTATTCATTTCTAGTTGCCAAATAATTTTTTCCTTGTGTAGCCTAAAACAGTTTCCAGAAAGCGAGTTAGAAAGTTAGTAGAAACTTACAGCGTTAGAAATATTTATTTTATATCTTTAGTTTTGATAGCGCTCTTTAAGTAACTATACCAGTTTAGATGACCATGCCTACGGGCAATTATTTCCCTGGAACATATAAAATTGTTAAGAATAGGATATATATGTGTATAAAATATAAAGATTTGCATTTATAATGTCCAGTGTAAATTGATACGTTTCTATTCCGAATCGACCTTGTAAATATTCTTTGTTACTGAATTATCTCGCTGCGACTGAGTTGTTGTTTGATAAAGAAACTGTAATACTTAAGTTTTACCATTTAGTGATAAAATAAAGAAAATATAAAAAATTAAATAACTATGTGTCTTATTTCGATCTGTACGTACTTGTAGGTAGTAATGCACTGTTGCACGATTTTCCTAATAACATCTAGTAGATCTTTAACGATCAGTATCTTTCCTATATCATGTCACTTTCTCATAACATCTTAATAACTACTTGTTTCTTTCAGTACTTTCTCTTTATTAATCTATGTATGTACACTCAACTAGCTACGATAATGCCACTTTTTACATCTTCTTGGATAAACAGGTATGTTTATTTTTTTTTTAAATTTTAAGCTATGATAAGGAATTCGATCTTTATGAAAACTTTAAAATTTTACGAATGGTGGAGGCGTAATGGAAACCATCACCCAATTACGTCCGTGTATCTCGTAAGAGGCGAATAAGAAATATAAAATTTTTATTGCTTCCATTAAATATAGTTGTATTACCATCTAGTTCATAAGGTATAAAATACCCAGTACAACGACGGGAAGCAGCGTTAAAGGTGCGAAACGTCTGGTACTGCAATTATGAATTAATTCATCTGTCAAGCGTGATGATTAAGGCATAGAAGAATATAATCATATAATCATATAAATAGGCATATAATCCATAGAAGATATTGGGAGAAGAATGAATTTTGACTGGCTGATGGTGAAAACATGAGGTTTTCCATTAAAGGCTTGAATCAGGTGGATATAATAGGACTATAATGAGACTGATATTTAACGCAAATCATGTATGTTACAGTGAGGATTATTATGGAGACGTCGACCTTAAGGCGCTTAAAAAGTTGGGATTCTGAATGTCAAGGAGCAACTCAAAGGACAGACTGAAGTTCAAGCTCTTCGACTTGATTTAATTTGCTTTTTTTTAAATATTATGAGTGTGTAAAGTTGTTTAGGTAATGTCTATTAAATAGACTAAACTTTAAATCTTGACAAGCAACACGTTCAAAATATATACATTATCTTTGGATGCATTATTTCTTTAAAATAATGTAAATAACGAAAAAAAGGTATACGTCAGAAGAGTTTTTTTTTTATAGTCGCCATGTACTTTGAGTGTGCTGTCTAACGTATAAATATTTCATGTATAAGAAACATGATGTAGCAGTTTTAAAAAAAATGTTTGTTAACCATTTTACAGAACTCAATTGTTGCCAAAAAGTGTAACTAATCAAGAATAACAACTTTGACACGGTACCAACGTGATTTAGATGTTGATACTGTGTCGAAACCAGGACATAATAATAAAAATAATAGTCATAAATATAATATTTTATTTTAAGTTAGAGTAGATTTTGTACGAACACATGTAAATAAATTTTTACCTACTAAAAATATTTTTCTTCATTTCGTAAAATCTCAGTCACACTTCATAACTTCGTACCATTGAAGTTACAGAAAAATATTCAAACAAATGATTTTATATAGGATATTGTACATATGAATAATGAAGCATACAAATGATTTTATACGTGATATTTAAGTTTTAATCAGTAATTATGAATAATTTGGTTATTCAGCCGTTTTAACGTCAGCAATGCTTTTAAGTTTCAATTGACGAATTGCATCTTGGCGTGACATCGCTACATGTGTGGTAGTCCAAGCTGGAATGAAAAGTAATAAATTATTGATAATACGTTTCAAAAAAGTATCATACATAATAAGAAATTAATATAATTCATTCTCTTGACTTATTTTTCTTTGCTTGGTAAAAGTAGAGCCTTTATAGACCCTATTAGGATCTATGCTTCCTCTTTTTCCTGAGAAAGCTTTAACGTAAAAAAGAGTTCGCCGCGCTACCCCAATGTGTGATGGCAATAGTGGTAGTAGACTTCAAAAGTCCTCGAAAAGTTTACATTTCCCAGACCTGATGGTTTTCCCAAGATGAATTGCTTCACCGCCGAGTGTGGAAAATTGTTAATTATTTATGTCGGAACTAAAAATTTAAAAAGAAGTGGTATCGATATTGAGAATTAGTTTCAACATTTGAATTTTGAATCACGCTTATTTTGTTTTAAAATAAGCGATATATTAAAACAAAAAGGCAAAATTAATTAGTAATGAGAATTTTTTTACATCTGTGCTAAAGAATTACTTAAAAAGTTACATTTTCACCGCGCTATTCCAGTACATGATGGAGGACTTTACATTTCCTCTAAATATTGTATTCCTCCGATACGCAGGTTTACTCCGAAGTTTTCCTGGTCTGGTATATCGCATAACGATGTCAGTTACGGGTAGTTAAGACGAGCGAGTTTCTGTATCACTACTGTGGGCTAAAATGATGATATTATTTTAAAACCTACAATAAAATTGAATTTTGGCGATACTTACATTTGCTATCGTAAACTGAGTTTATTATCACAGTTCCTGGATTAATATTTGTAGAGGTAGGGAGTTGTTTATTTGTAATATCTGTTGCTTTTGTTGAATAAGACGTGTCAGGCGCTGTCGTCGATTCTGGAGTTGGGTGAGTCATGGGTGATGAAGTGACCGTTGGTGAAGTATTACAGCTCACCACGTGCTTGTAATCACAAATACCCAAATTCTGAAATTAATATTAAACACATATTGTAGATAATACAAATAGGTAGAGATAATGTAACAGTAAGGAGGCTAGATATTATTCAAAATACACAAGACTATAAAAATCTTTTGTAGACATAGTTCATCTTCCTTAGAAATAGAAACATTTTTATTCAATATAGATTATAAATAATACTTATTGAAAGTCGATTATATGTTTAATTTATCAATGAAAAAAAAAACTCTGTCCTGGGAAAAACCAGCTAGAAACCCAGTTGGACTTTTCTTTAAAAAACAAACAGTTTATTTATAATCATTAAAGTTTATTTTATTTTTATTTTTTTTATTTATAGGTTAGGGTGACAAACGAGCACACAGTCCACCTGATGGTAAGTGGTTACTGTGACCCATAGATATCTACATCTATCCTCAATAAAGACTCAAGATGCAGATGCGTTGTCACCCGTGAAGACTAAGATGGAATGCCTCTTTGCCAGTAAAAAGGGTCTCCAGTTCTCTATACACACCATACGAAACACAGCAGCGTTAAGCTGCTATTTTACGCTGGTTTTCTGTGAGAGCGTGGTCCTTCCCCGGTCGAGCCGACCCATTCGTGCTACAACCATAATATAGCTGCAGCATGGCTCTACCACGTATAAATTACACAATAATAAATAAGTTACAGAATAATTAACAAAACAAAACAAATTAGAAATAGAATGGTAGCGTTCACCTCGTTCCTTTATTTGTATAAACCAAGAGTTTTGTCTGTATGATGCTAGATTAGGTAATTAAGACCAAAAGTGATTGCAATAGAGGAATTGTAAAAAATAGGCATTTATAAAAATATGTGCCGAATTTTCGATTTCGCAACATCGAGATATTTAATGAATTTAATTTAGAAGACATTAAACTATATCGGAAACTTTAAATATAACTGCACCCGAATCGTATTTAATGAAAGAGGGAAAATATCGTTAATAAAAGTAAAATTCTAAGAATAATTGATGTGACGCAAGGTGTTTATAACATTTTCTTTTTCAAATGCCAATATATTCTGCTTGTGTCGCATTCTGTTAACTCACGAACGAGGATATATAGCGATCGACAACAGGAATCTAATGATTTCGGGCTAAAGGATTCGGACTGCGGGAGAAAAAAATCGTTAGATCCAAATAAGTCAAAGAGGCTTGATCAACTTCAGACAAGCTTTTTTACTTATTTAGATACGTGTATGGGAATACTAGTAATGGTAATAGCGTTATAGTATTTTCGATTCCTAATCATGAGGACTTTGGTTCGAATCCGGGTATTACACAGTGATGTTTATACAAAATTAGTAATTGAGATTTTCTGACAAGAAATTCTCAGTAGCAGGATGGAAGTTGGTGGTGTTTCACCTCCGTGCCTCGGATAGCACGTAAAGCCGTTGGTTCTGCGCCTAATCTATCTCCGGTCACTATGTATTACTGTTCCATCGTATTATGACAGTGAGTAGAGAATGCTTGTGCATAAACTCGGGCACTATAATTCTGTCCTGCGCTGATGGCTAGTTTCCATTGAGATTGGCCGCCGTAACTAACATCGGTCTACAGGACATTGTTAGTTTTTATATGTCTTGTGGTTGGTTAGCTATACCAATGTGAAGTATCAGCACTGTACTCTTAAATCCACCGACTCGTCGTGGAAAAATATAATGATTTCTTACATTTACGAGAATATTACACAAATTTTACGGATTTTATCGCGTGGATCCCAAACAGATGGTAGGTCCCATCCATTTTCTCTATTGAAATTAAAATTAGGAATCGGTGTTCTTTTGCGAGGATTTGTGGTCTATCAAATCTGATGTAATGACGGGGACGACGACGGGAAGCGTCGATGCTGCGCAGTCACCTCAGTCCCCCCGTGACCACCGAATAAATATTTTTTATGATTTAAATTGAATAAAGAACTTATGCTGTTTATTTGAGATATTATCACACACACACCTTTGTGTGTTGTGTCTTACTCAATTACTTATTGTCGTAAGTAAACACGTAAAGTTATTGTCTCGTAAGTGCTGTGTTAAGCTTTTACGGATTTGCACACGCTACATAACGTGTGAGTCATTTAGAAAGGTAGTCGACCTCGGAATTATAAATTTCAATTCTCAGACATATAAGTAATGAAGTTATTAATGTGTATTTCTATATAATTGTATAAAAATCAACCCGTCAGTAAGTCAGTCAACCCAGATCGTGTGGAAATAAAGTGATAGGTGCCAAAAAAAGGAAATTGAATTTTGGTAATTCAGAAAAGTAACAATGTTATTACGTACTATAATAATACATTAAAATAATATAAAACAAATGAAGAAATAATATGTGTAAATTAGAAACAGAAATGCAATGTACTTTAAACCGTAATATAATAAAAACATAAAACATGGTAGAATGATACTGCATCTCTACTATAGCTAGCTATTATGATATACTACAAGCTACTATTATTCTATGTTATAACTGCGGTAAAAACGAGTCTGTTCGACTGGGGAAGGACTACACTCTCACAGAATACCAGTGTAAAATAACAGCTTAATATATGTATAATATATATATATATATATATAGTTCGTTCAAAAACAAGACATCACAACAAGGATTCTATCGTCGTCGACACTAATAAAATTATTAAATGTAATTTAAGGCGCTTATTTACTACGTGTTCGGAAGGGAAAAAATATCGTGAGGAAACTTGCATATCTAAGGAATAAAACATTCCAAGCACATTTTAAGTCAGTCAATTCTGACTCTGACATAATCTGATAATATATACTGAATTTTGTAGAATAAAAATATGAAAACAATTATTCTATGAAGTAAACATACATAAAACAGTATCCAAAATAAGCCTAGTAATGGAAGTTTAAGCTTGAAAAAGACCGCCGAAGATTAGGGCCTAAGAACCCTTTTGTACGTGGTAGAGTTTTGTACATGCCGCAGTAATATTAGTAGTATAGTTGTAGCATGAATGGGTCGGCTCGACCGGGGAAAGACCACGCTCTCATAGAATACCAGCGTAAAATGGCAGCTTGACACTGCTGTGTTTCGTATGGTGAGTGTAGAGAACCGGATAGCCTTTTTACTGGAAAAGAGACATTCCATCTTAGTCTTCACGGGTAACGATGCATTAGCATTTTGATTCTTTATTGAGGATAAATGTAGATGAGTCACAGCAACCACTTATCATCAGGTGGAATTTGTGCTCGTTTGTTATCCTTATTCCAAAAAAAACCCTGTGTAAATTTCATAATACATGATCCGCGTCCGATTCGGGCTGGCACCAATGAAAATTGCAATTTTAAGTGTTGATCTATTGTGTGTTGATCTTACTTGTTGCTCAGTAATGAACCAGATTGGCAACCAACATATGGCCTAAGGATATCCACCTAGTATGCCGCACAGCGAAAGTGTTTTAGATAATATAACAGCCTATCACCATATTAAATCCCGCGAGTCTTAATAGGTGACTATTGGAAATATTAGAGAAAAGTTATGGCTTCCGACACATGGCGATATTTCATTTCGTTTACGTCAGACCTAAGATGTGCAAGACGTCCAGTACTATTATTATCAAACGCCTGCCACGCGATTAAGGTAAATCCTCTTTACAATAAAACAAGCACATACGGTGTGCTTTGTAGTGGTGGACTTTGTGGATTTTTAGAGGCTGATAAAGAAGAAGAATGACGTCGAACTTTTAGAACACGCTCACTAGTCATCGGTCGCAGCATTGCCAGTGCCTCAGTTTCGACTTTACGCTCACCAACCACCTGCCTAGCTGAATTATCATCATCATTATAGGCTTTCAAAATTTTACATAGGCGATACATATCATCATACAATTTTTTTACATTTATGGTTGAATTAGGTGGAGCTACACTGCAGCTATATTATGGTTGTAGCACGAATGGGTCGGCTTGACCAGAGAAGGAATACACTCTCCTAGAATACCAGCGTGAAATATCAGCTTTATGACCATATGAAAAGGGCTACTCTTTAGACAACCTGAGGTCCTTTTCCCTGTACACGAATCATTCTATCATAGTTCTCAGGGTTGACCACGCGTCTGCATTTTCAACAGCTAATCTATGCTAAATAAAAATAAATAAACGATGTGATGTGATTTTTAAATAGCATTCAGGATGAAATTAATCATAAATGAATTATTATGCGATCAAAAATATAACGTGAAGTAAAAGGAGCGATTTTCATTTCAAAAAACGTAATTGAAATTGAAAACATTCATTTAACTTACACACATTTAACTTATACAACTTTAATTCATTAATCCTTCATTTGTACTTACATTTACATTTATTACTAAATTTGTGATATAAACTCGCAGTGGAAGGCCTTTTCCCCATAATGTTTTTTTATAGAATAAGCGTGATAAACGAGCACACAGTCAGATAAATGGTAAGTGGATGCTGTGGCCCGTAGACATCTATACATTTACACAATTTTACTCAATTAAGAATCAAAATGCAGATGCGTTGTTACCCCAGAGAACTATCCGTATCCAGGAATCCTTCGTTTCCAGTAAAAAGAGTGTCCGGTCCTATACACCCTGGTTCTGTACACTCTCATTTTACGCTAGTATTCTGTATGAGTGTGGTTTTCGGTTGAGCCGACCCATTCATGCTACGACCATAATATAACTGGAGCGTGGCTCTCACACATAAAATTTAGTCTGTGAATTTTGCAATTTCCAGTTTTGGATGTATGTATGAAATTATTTTATTCTTTTTAATTGTTAGGTGAACTGTGTGTTCGTTTGTCACCCTATCCTTTAAAAAAAATTATGGTGTTAAAATTGATCTGTGAAATGGTGCCCCTAGATGGCAACGTAAGAGAATCCACTAGCCTATAATATCATAACGAGAGTGTCGTAAGAGCGGACCAAGGGAAATGAAACAGGAGATGGGCAACAGCATCTTCCTGATAATAACTAAAAATAATAAAAAATAGAACGAAAACTGACGACCGAAAGTTTAAATCAATAATTAAAATTAAAAATAACTATTACCTATTCTTCTTCTTCTTTCAATATGTACTCCTTTTGTTTATAAATTAAAGTAGCATATATTTTATATTTTTACTACTAATTTACTTGCTCATGAAGGTACAAAATAATGAACAAATATGTTTTACGTTAAACAAATATTATTTGTGTTTAAACTTGTGTATATTAATATAATAATTCTTTAAAAATATATTACACACTTTAAATACGAAGCGAATACTCCCAGTGTTATATTTTGGGTAATTAAAAATTAATTAATATTTTGTATTGTTCTTTTGTCTTAAAAGAATGAACTAATTATGCCAGGTAAGCTTTTGTATAACAGTGTCAGTAATAAAAAATGTCCTCATTACCCTGTGTGGATGTGAAGTTTACATTTATTGCAATACCCTGCTAACTTTCAATATTATAAATAAATATATGTATGTATATATTTCATACCTGGTTAAAGTAAAGATCAGAGGGACACTTGAATCTGACCGGTAAATTGTTTATACACACGAAAAACTCGTTGCAGTCCGACTCGTTTCGATAAGTTTCAAAATCATGATGACACCTTGGTTCAATTATATCTAGAATGTTTAAAAGAAAATGTATAAGTTGAGGGTTATTTAAAGACGAACGATAATTTTATTTCTATATTTATATAATAAGGAAAATTATAAGGAAGGCTTATTTTCAGCAGTGGATTTTTGATGGACAAAATATATAGTTTCAAACTGGTCATATTCGACTCGTGAACTAATCGCGGTTATAATTTTAATTCTTATCGGCTTTTGATAATAAATGTATGAGCATAAAAATTTCATTTACGAGATGTCTTCTGTTAGATGGATGGTATTTTGGTGTTGTTCTTATATCGTTGTTGTGTAAGTAAAGAGTGATTTTACATAATATTCGACGTGACATTTCGAGCAATATCTGACGACACCGCGAAGATCAAACATTTTTACGCAACTTAATGCTGTAGCTATTTTATTATAATATACTCAGAAGAATGAAATATTTGACAGTTAAGTATTCGTATATGTATGAAATGCAAGAAGTTATTGAAGAAAATGTCAAGTCAATTTACATAATATATCATACATACTCTTCCAATCCTCATATTACTCTTGGATTTTCAAATAGACATTTTAATTGTAAGTATGTTATTAAATTTCACTAGAAATCCAAACATATTACACTATAATACAATGTTTAGGCTTATCAAAACAAACATGACAATGTGATGCTTATATTTTACTTTAGTGAATTTGCAACTGCTTAGAACTTTATACATCTGATGTAAAATACACCAAATAAAGCTTAAGAATGTTATTCAAAAATTTTTATAAATGTGTATGACATAATCATTCCTTAGTCAGTATTCTTTGTAGGTAAAGTAAAGTACCACTCCTTATTTGTAACAAACAAATGATTAAAATCTTCGTATTGTTTTGGGAATTATGGCTGCGGAATCTTACATTTATTAGACGTTTTATTTCTTTAATGTCCTTTTTTAAAATTCTTTGTAGGAAAAATGTCCCATATAAGAAAAACTAATTTAGTCTAAGTTAAATATTTCATCGTCACTATCACTACAGCCCATCAAAACTCCACTGCTGAACAAAGCACGATCCTGAGCCACCTGCATCTATCGATGTCGTACATCTCTTACCAGGTCGTCACCCCATATAGTAGGGGATCACTCAATTTGCCTATCGGTACGAAGCTGCCACTAGAGAACCTTTCTTCACCATCAGTTTTTATTTATAGAATAGGGGGCAAACGAGCATGCGGCTCACCTGATGGTAAGTGACTACCGCCGCCCATGAACAACCGCAACACCAGGGGAATTGCAGATGCGTTGCCGGCCTTTTAGAAAGGTGTAAGCTCTTTTCTTGAAGGTTCCTAAGTCGTATCGGTTCGGAAAATTCGCTGGTGGTAATTGATTCCACAAAGAAGTTGTGCGAGGGAGAAAACTTCTTCTAAATCGCACAGTGGTGGACCGCCAATCATCCAGATGGTATGGATGGTAACGCAAGTTTTGTCGCGATGTACGATAGTGAAATTGAGCGGCTGGAATTAGTCCGAACAATTCCTCAGAGCACTCCCCGTGATAGATGCGATAAAATACGCAAAGAGATGCAACATCTCTACGCAGTGCCAGTGTATCGAGCCGATCGAAAAGAACTCGGTCATCGACGATTCGAATCGCTCTGCGCTGGATGCGGTCAAGTGGAAGGAGCTGGCACTGGGGTGCCCCGGCCCAGAGATGAGAACAGTATTCCATGTGGGGCCGAACTTGCGCTTTGTAAAGTTGCAAGCGATGTGCCGGCATGAAATACTGTCTCGCTCTGCTGAGCACGCCAAGCTTTTTAGAGGCCAATTTGGCCTTCCCTTCCAAGTGACCACGAAACTGCACGCTGTTCGATATGTCGACGCCAAGGATTCCGATACTGGCTGAGGCAGCAAGGGGAGTGCCTTGAAACTGAGGAGATACGACAAAGGGGTTCTTTTTAGCGGTAAACGCGCAAACTTGTGTCTTCTGGGGATTGAACTGGACTAGATTTAGTCGGCCCCAATCCGAGACTTTGTTAAGCAAAGACTCGACTTCAGACACAAGTTTGTCCCGGTACTCGGCGACGTTTTCCCGAGAAATATTGGCACGGCCGGTATATAAGGCATCCCCAGTGCTGTCGTCTGCATAGCAATGAATGCTACCAGTTAGCAACATATCATTGATATGCAGGAGAAACAGCGTTGGTGATAGCACGCAGCCTTGTGGAACACCAGCGTTGATAGGCTTGAAATCAGAGCATGCACCGTCTACTACGACCTTGATGCTCCGATCAGCAAGGAAACTGGTGATCCATTTGCACAATTTCTCGGGAAGCCCATAGGAAGGAAGCTTCGAAAGAAGCGCCTTGTGCCAGACCCGATCGAAGGCCTTCGCTATGTCTAAACTAACGGCCAATGCCTCCCCCTTAGACTCTACTGCCTCCGCCCATCTGTGAGTTAAGTAAACTAGAAGATCACCTGCTGATCGACCTCAACGAAAACCGTACTGACGGTCACTGATCAGCTGGTGATCCTCAAGGTACCTCATGAGCTGGCAATTTATAATGGACTCCATTATTTTGGAGAACAAGGAGGTGATGGCGATAGGTCTGTAGTTGGACGGGTCTGAGCGGTCGCCTTTTTTAGGGATCGGGTGGACAAAAGCTGTCTTCCATGAATTCGGGACTACGCCTTGGGAGGAGGAGTACCGGAAAAGACGCGTTAAAACTGGTGCCAACTCCGGAGCACACGTCTTCAGCACAATGGGAGGGACTCCATCGGGCCCACTCGACTTGCTAACGTCCAGGGAGAAGAGTGCTTTGCGAACCGAGCGCTGTGTAAATCGCACATCCAGCATGGAGCACTCACATCGCGGGATAGTCGGCGGTGTGTTCCCCACGTCATCTAGAGTCGAGTTAGACGCAAAAAGAGAGCACAACAGATCGGCTTTCTCTTTTGCGGCATGGGCCAGTGAGTCGTCCTCTCTGTGCAGAGATGGAAGGGATGGCTGACAGAAGTTCCCTTGGACAGTCTTGGCGAGAGACCAGATTGCACGGGTTCCCGAAGGAAGGCGAACTAGCTTCTCGCCAATTCTGCCGATGTGCTCAGACCTTGCCTTGGCAATGACGCTTTTGAAGGACCTGGAGGCGGAATTATACTTCTTTTTAAGTGCGCTGGTGTTTAAATCCCGAGACGTTGATGCGTCAGCCCAGGCGCGGTAGCACTCCTGCTTATAGCGTGATGCTATTTTACAGGAGCGACCAAACCATGGCTGGGATCTGCCTCCGATGGGCACCACAGAGGATGAAATAAAAAGTTCCATACCCTGAAGTACCACATCAGCAACAGAATCGGCAACAACGCTGGGATCTTCCGGCGAGAAGCAAACCCGCCCCCGAGGGTAGGATGCAAAAAAAGACCGCATCCCGTCCCAATCAGCTGACCTATAGTGCCAAACACGGCGGCAAGCTGCAGATCGCAACTGCGATTGGAGCGTGAGTGGCACCGTGCTCCGGATCAGACAATGGTCCGAAGAGCCCAGAGGGGCATTTTTTTTTATAGGATAAGGGTGACAAACGAGCACACAGTCCACCTGATGGTAAGTGGTTGCTGCGGCCCATAGACATCTACATCTATCCTCTGTAACAAATCAAAATGTAGATGCGTTCTCACCCGTGAGGATTAAGATGGAATGCCTCATTTCCAGTAAAAAGGGCCTCCGGCCACCTGCACTCACCAATCGAAACGCAGAGGTAAACCTCTACTTCACGCTGGTTTTCTGTGAGGTCGTGGTACCACCCCGGTTCGAGCTGGCCCATCCGTGCGACAGCAAAAGCTACCGCTTGACTCTAGAGTTGAGTTGAGTTTGAGTTTTAGAGCTATAGTTCGGCCCATTACCACTTTAGCTCACTGATCTATTGTGCTATGTTAGTTACTCTGGTTCCACTGCGGATTAGCACAGCTTATCTTGATTCTTTATTGAGGATGAATAAATATGTCTATAGGCATTGACTACTGGTGGTACAGGTACTGGTGTACTACTATGTGGTAGAGCCATGCTCCAGCTATTATTAGAATAGTTGTATCACGCATGGGTCGGCTCGACCTGGGAAGAACCACGCTCTCACAGAAAACCAGTGTGTAAAAAATAGCAGCTTAATGCTTTTATTGGAAACGAGGCATTCCATCTTGGTCCTCACGGGCGACGACGCATCTTCATTTTGATTCGTAATCGAAGATAGATGTAGATGTCTATGGGCCACAACAGTAATTTACCATCAGGTGGACTGTGTACTCGTTTTTCACCCTTATCTTATAAAAAACCTACCGTTAAGTGAACTGCGTGCTGATTGCTTTTAAGTGGATAGTCTATCTCTGTTTTTAACTATCACAGACAAAAAGGGAGTTAGCCAATTAGATAAAGAGCTAATAACAAGGAAACACTGTTGGGTTGAGGAACACCATGTAGTGGCGGTGTAAGAGTATCCACTACGCCATGTCGTCCCGTGGGTATCGTAAGAGATGACAAATGGAACCAAACCAGGGTATGGCCAGTAAGCAGCGTTTTCCAAAAAAACTATAAAAAATAAAATGTAGACTGCGGTAACTAACCCGCCCGCCAAGCGTGGTAAATATGACTAATATCCCCTCAATGAGGCAATCTGTGATATGCTGTAGCGATAATAGTAGCTCTTGGGTTGACGTTACAATAATTAACTTACCTTTTATTTTTCTGTTACTGCAGTCTACATTATATACGTAGTCACAGTAACCGTTATTAGAAAATAGTAATCCTTCCGGACACTCTTGTTCAAACGCCCATCCGTCCCAGCAGTTCAAGAACTTGCTGCATATTTTAGGTGATGGAATCGGTTCCCTTTTCCCGCTGCAGAGTGGGTTGATCTCTACCACTGGATCACGAGTCGATAGTAACAGTAACTTGTTCTGGTACACTGGGTCATTGTTAATTTTCTGTACTACTGCATCCGATACAGGTATCATGTAGGCTATTGTTGATCCACTGAAGGTTGAAGGCTGTTGATATAATAGCTTTAATTTAATAATACTAGTAACTTAATAAATAATAACAACGCTCTATATTATTACCAACAAAGGGAGCTAAATAGCCATCAAAATAATGCGAAGGGAATAGTTATTTTGTTGGCTATTTTTCTAATTAGCTATCTAATTAGAAATGCCAGTTTGTCTCCCATATAGCATTATGTGTTTGATAGTTCTACTGGTTCTAGCCAAATGTGAGTAAAAGTTTTGATTAGATTTGAAGATAACATATTTTCTCTTAATTTTTACAAAAAATTAGCTCAACGTAATAAATTAATTGATAAAAGTATAATAAATTTATTAACGGCTTAAACCACTATTATATATCGATGATTATCTTCCTATTGTGAAAATAGTTACCTTCAATTTAAGACAGATTCTAAAATGTTGTTCCGGACAATTTATAAACTAATGATAACAATAAAAAAATCATGGAACAAATATCATGCGAGGGTAGCCGAAAAACTTGACACCATCGATGGCAGAAACGAATCTGTAGAAAGAACATGGCAGAACCTTAGGGATGGAATGGTAAGTGCAGCGGAAGAAGTGTGTGGAACAATAAAAAGAGGCAGTAGTAAAAGAAGAGATGCATGGTGGAATGATGAAGTGAAAGAAGCTGTAAAGAAGAAGAAGAAAGCATGGTTAGACTACTTGGCCTCTAGTAATGATAAGGATATGAGAGAGAAGATGAAAGAAAGATATAGGCTGCAGAAAGTTCACACGAAAGCATTGATTGAGGAAGTGCGTGAAAGGTGTAGAATGAAAGCGGACGAAAGGTTGTCGCACAACTTTAAGGAGAACTCCAAACTCTTCTGGAAAGAGGTTGGAAGGACCCGAAGTGGTGCGACGGCCTTAAGAATGAACAAAGTGCTTTCGAGAACTAATGACGTCCTCTCCGAAAAATCGGACGTCATGCAGCGATGGAGCGAATTTTATAGAGAAATGTATGCGTGTGATGATCTTAGTGAGGGATCCGGGGATGACGCCGTGACTGGTACGCCAGACCCGGACCTCGATGACACTGAGGTCATCAGTATGAAAGAGATTGAACGTGCGATTCGAAGTTTGAAATGTGGTAAGGCTGCGGGACTAGACAGAGTTACTGCTGAAATGGTCAAGTATGGTGGGCCTCGCGTCTGGGACAGGTTTCATCTGCTGTGCAATTTGTGCTGGCGGACGGGGGATGTTCCGGATGATTGGCGATCCGCAGTCATTGTGCCTTTATATAAAGGTAAAGGTTCACATTTTGACTGCGGGTGCTATCGGGCGATCAGCTTGACCAGTTTAGCAAGTAAAGTTTACTCGAAGGTTTTGACACGTAGGATGCAAGAGAAATCGGAAAGATTTCTATGGGAGGCACAATGCGGATTTAGACCTGGAAGAGGATGCACGGATCAAATGTTTTCTCTCCGCATGATCACGGAAAAGCTTCTGGCTGCTAACCAGAAGATTTTCTGTGCTTTTGTGGATCTTGAGAAAGCATTTGATAAGGTTGTAAGGAAGAAAATGTGGGAACTGTTGCCGGGGTATGGTGTGGATGGTCGATTGCTAAGGGCTGTGCAGTCTCTTTACTGTGACTGTAAAGCCTGTGTGCGGGTAGGGCATGACCTGTCACCCATGTTTAGCGTCCAAACGGGCGTAAAACAGGGTTGTGTCATGTCTTCCTGGCTGTTCATACTGTATCTCGACAGCTGTTTACAAAAGCTGAAAGATAGCTGGTTGGGTGTGAAATTGGGTGACATTAAAGTAAATTGTCTGCTGTATGCTGATGATGCAGTGCTTATTGCACCATCAGAGGCAGAACTGCAGGCATTAGTCACGTGTATGAAAGAGGAATGTGAAATTAAAGGTCTCTGTTTGAACGCTAATAAAACTAAGGTTCTGGTATTTGAAAGGGACGAAGAGAGAACGAAGTGTGAAATATGGGTAAATCAGGAATGTCTAGAACAAGTAAATGAAATTGTATACTTGGGGAGTGCTTTTAGCTGGGATGGAAGATGTGATTTAGATGTGGACAGGCGTGTCGCTGCCGGGAACAAAGTCAATGGTGACTGCGTTAGTCAAAAGGCAAGGCGTAGTGAAGAGTGCACGCCTTGCAATACATAACGCAGTGTTGGTACCGACTTTGTTATATAGCAGCGAAACCTGGGTATGCCAGAAGAAGCATAAAAGCAAGTTGAATGCAGTGGAGATGCGATCTCTTCGTAAAATGTGCGGCGTTACCATGGCCGACCGAAAGCGAAACGAAGAGATTCGCAATATGGCAGGTTTGAAAGATGACCTTATCACAAAAATTGATAAGGGCGTGCTTCGGTGGTTTGGGCACGTTGAGCGAATGAGTGAAGACCGAATGGTGAAGAAAATATATAGCGCGAAAGTTAATAAAGGTGTCGAGGTAGACCGAGACTAACTTTCGAAGACCATGTGAGCAAATTGCTCGAAGAGGGTAGGGTCAAGAGTACTCGGATACCTAGACGTGCATGTAAGAAGAAGATAATGAATCTGAAAGAAGGGAAAGAGGTATGTAAGGATCGTGACACTTGGCGATCTGTTCTCTCTGGCTACCACCTCAGGGATTGTGCGTGAAGATAAGTAAGTATGATAACAATAATCCTCGCGACTACGCCCGCGTGTAATTAGGGTTTAAAATTTTTAGCGAGGAACCTTAATTCTATTTCTAAAATAAAAGTAGCCTTAGTTAGGAGTAATTCTAACTAAAATGACATCAGATATCTGCCAATGAAAGTCCCGTCAAATTCGGTCCAGCTGTTTCGGAGATTACCCGAAAATGTAATGTAAAAAATTATATTTTTGTTATAAGTATCATATATATTTTCATATGCATTGAGTAAAAAGCTGTAATTTTGACATTAAACACAGACACTTCAATTTTATTTATTTGTATAGATTATGTTACTCTTAGCTGGTAGAACTAACTATCAAATAATTGGTCAAAATTAAAATTAAAATGACAAGGTTGTTGATAGTTAAGAGTTGAATATAAAGTTTAAGCCGTTTATCTAAAGACAAAGGGGTAATGTCCCCTAAATATTGTGAATTGCTAATGGTATTTATATATTTACATATAATTATTATACAAAAAATATTTAAGAAATAATGAATATACTTACTCTGAGGAAACCTAAAAATGGATTCATTAGGTTCCAATAATTGCTTCCTTTGGTGCCAAAATCAGTTAAGTAACGATTCGAGTAGGTCTTTACTAAATTTCCTTCTTCATCGTAAACTGTAAAGTATTTATTTTTTAGTAAAAATAAAACAAATTCAAATTTAATTAGGAATAAGTCACAAAAATATTCATTAAGGTACGTATATGTCGCTTAACGAAGTTGAACGGTTTCGATGCTTTTATTTTAGATACGCTTACTGATAAATCTAGTCTACATGTCCGTCCGTATTTAACTTATAATAATAAAAAAACATGCGTGAGTGTCGTGGAACACTCGGTTGGAACGAAGTTCCTTCTATAGTATATTATTATTGATAAACGTATTATATTATTGAATAACAAACGCAAATAAATGAATTACTAGCGTCAATTAATATGAAGCGTCATTTAAAATAAAACAATATTTCTTTCATCGCAAGATAAGAAAAAGTGCGAGGGAGATGGCAATTATTCCATCTCGCTTCCTTATAGCCGCCAAGGCCATCTACACTATGTCGGAAGAGGTCGTGAACGAAAAATCTTACACTTTTTCTCGCGAAACCTCCATCCGCCAAATTCGTACCGTCCGATAAGGAACTTCCTTCCAAAAGGGTTTAATTATTCTAAGTTAAATACGGACTACGGAATACTTAATTAGTGTCACCAAATTTGATATGAATATAAATTATATAAATACTCAATGGTTTATTGCTGTATTCAGGGGGAATCATGGCGTAGCCAATTGCAATTTTTTAATGGTTTTTCACTGAAACTTATTATCCGATTTCGATTAAACTTCGCACAGATAATCTAACTGGTGTAAATAGTGCATTAATTTTTATGCCTGTAGTTATTTTGATTTATACGTATAAATATTGAGATTTTAAGTTACATACAAATTTGTATGAGTTTGCTCGCTCATGTAATGTAGATGGCATAATGTTTGGTATATAAATATATTTTGGAACGTTGAGATGAGATGTATCGACTGCTGCTAATATTTTCAAATTTGAATTTTATATACTCACGTCTGTTTATCACAACTTATAAGACATCCATTGATAAACATGGACCCCCCATACATTCATTTTAGAATGTATAAATGAGTACAAGCGATTATTATTTTTTTCTTCCCTTTTCGTATTATATGTTTTTTTTTAATTAAAATTTTTAGAAACTATTGCTTATTAGTATTCGATTTGAAGTTAGAAACGCACTTGCAGTCCATCTAGTGGTAAGTGGCTACTGTAGTTATCTCCTCTGAGGACTTACAGACTGACTTTGATGTTTAATCAAATACATATTAAAATTTGAAATATATTTGATAAACTCATTATTTTAGAGACGAAGGATATTAAAATATCCTTCATTTCTAAAATAATGTTTTATTTAATTTATATAATAAATTTTAATACATTAGATAACACTTTTGCCCGCAACCTGGATATAGCAAATATTTTCTTTGAATACGTATGAATTATTTTTATTTGTATCAATACAGTCCGTAATTCAGCAGATAAAATTCGTTTAATTTCCTTTAGTCCTTCTTAACTTTTATGGAATTGTTTCAATGGAAGTTAGTATCGTCGATACAATTTTATTCCCAACTTCTACCATGGCTTATACATTGAAAAATATTCTAACTGTTAATAATAAGCCCGTTCATAAATGAGTACCATAGATTGTATAATTACAACTCGAGATTAATCTCGTCGGCAAAGGATGTTTAAACGCTTATATGTAACTTGTCGGAAGACATTAGGAGCGATGGAAATGATACGCTGACAGTTGAATGCGGCGCTGTGTACAAGTTACTGACATGCAGTGTACAGTAAACTTACAAATGCATCAAACATTTCTCGAGACAAGGGTATTCATCTGTAATGCTTCGTAAGAAATGATAAATCAGTTGTTAGATTGAAAAAGCCCCGGAACGACGGTCAACGACCGAGAAAGGGTCATTGCAGTAAACATAATCTTGCCTCAAACGTACTTCGTAATCGAACTTATTGGCATAAAATGGTATTTTTTGTTCTTTTTTTATATCTAAGTAAAATATATTATATATTATATTCTTATAATACTACAGCGACAATTGAAATAACAGTTCACCTGATGGATAGTGGCTTATGCGTTCTGTAGTCAAATGTAACCAACTGAATAAAAAAAATACTTTTAATATAAATTTGAAACGTAAAAGCTATGATAGTGTATAGAAGATTTATAGTCCCAATTTCAAAATGGGAAATAATTTTATATCGTTTTGTAGTTTTTTGAAGTCGGCTTTTACTGTATATAAAAATTATTTTTTTTACCCTTTTGAGTGGGCTAAGGTGTATCATAATAGAAACATGTAGCAACTTTATCCTCTGTTTTGGCACACTTAATTGCAAATAATTTCTACAAATTGAGAGTGGTATTTGATTAAATTTATATGCAACTCAATAAGTTTAATCTATTTAATAAAACAAATCATCAAAATCAGTTCAGTGAAAAATCGCCGGTGGTAATCTATTCCACAGAGAGGTTGTACGCAAAAGAAAACTCCTAGTGAAACGTACATTGGAGGACCGCTAAGCATCCAGATAGTGTAGATGGTATCGGGAGTTTTGCCGCGATTTGACCCATTGAAACTAAGGAAACATGACAAAGGAATTCTTTTAAGCGGTAAACGCGGAAACTTGTGTCTTCTTAGGATTAAACTGGACTAGATTTAGTCGCCCCCAATCCGAGAGTTTGTTCAGCAAAGACTCGGCTTCCAACACAAGTTTGTTCCGGTACTCGGTGACATTTGCCCGAGAAATATTGGCACGACCGGTGTATAGAGCATCACAAGTGCTGTCATCCTCATAGCAATGAATGTTACTAGTTAGCAACATATCATTAATATGCAGAAGAAACAGCGTTGGTATATAGCACGTGGCCTTGTGGAACACCAGCATTAATAGACTTATAGTCGGAGCATGCACCATCTACAATGACCTTGATACTCCGATCTGCAAGAAAGCTGGTGATCCAATTGCACAATTTTTCCGGAAGCCCATATATACTCATATCAAAACTTATGTGACAAAATTAGAGGTATTCCACAATGAGTGTCAAAGGCACAGAGACAATTAGAAATTACTACACAAATTAACCCTAGTCTATCCATTTGAGTTTGCGCAGAACCTGAGAAATGTTAATCTCTGTCAGAAAATATACGAAACTGCGGCATTCTTAAAAATGTTTACGTAAATTGTGATGCAGTTTAATTAAGCTTATATGTTTATAATCTATGTTTTGAAAGTAAAAGTAAAAGAATCCTTATCTTATAGTTTTTTTAAATTTTTACTGATCTTAAATTATGATACTCTACCGAGCTTAAAATTGTGTATGCTAGAGTATATTTTTATTTTCATTCAAAACATGAAAATAATATTAATGATAAAACGAAATGTTTATAAAATAAAATTTATTTACGGTCTCAGCATCTTTCAACGTAAAACAATTACGCTATCGTTGTTTTTTTTTTCTCTTTTTGGCATTTTTAAATAATAAGTTATTTACATAAATTATGACAGTGAAAGTATTTTTAAATTACGTATGATTTATTTTTTTCAGAACATCAAAAATATTTTGTAATCTCAAGTTGCTGTTACATAGGAAGCAGAGGCCACTTTAATAAATAAGCAATGAAAGTCACAAAATTTAACAAAAGCATTTTTTAACTTTTTATTGAAACAATGAATAATATATACCAAGGACTTTTATTATATAAGGAATTTTATTTAAGCTAAGAACTTTGTCTTCAATAATATTTCTCTTTATATAAATATTTAAATAATTATTTCAGTTTTATCCATTTGGATAGTCGCTAAATATTTTAAAATTGGTGTGTGTTAAGGCTCGCGTAAGTTTACCTTCTGCAAAATGTCTCTAATATTTTCTCAAATTTAAATGCTAAAATGTAAATTTTATTTGAAAGTATTTGAACCCTTTCTAAGTCTCAGCTATTTGCTTGATTTTTCTAAATATATTAGTTAGATTTATATAAAAGTTCAGTTAACTTTTATTTTTCAAGTACTAAGCTTAAAAGTGACTTGAAGATTGTGAATTGGTTTATTGGTGGAAATCATAATTAATTAAAGACAATACTAATGATCACACTTTTCAGTATCAGGAAAGTAAAAATAGTATTTTTTTTAAATATAAAGTGGGATCATTTAAGTAAGGTAAGGTCATTTAAGTAAGGTAAGGTAAGGGTGCTGTAAAGCACCCGAAACGTCGGGAATTAAAAATATTAAAATTAAACGCGATATAATCCGTAAAAAATTAGTTTCATTTAATGTGTAGTCTTCGCGTAAATATAAGAAAACATTAGTTGAAATAAATATTTCTAATTGTTACACAATATACAGTTTGCAGTCAAAAATTCTAGAAGTCATGATATAAACAGACTGCCATCATCCTGATTTTTTGTATACATCAGATCCCTACTACTTTATTTTTAAATAAACCATATGATAATAAACTAAATAGTAACCTATAACAAAAATATCATTAAAATTAAAGGACAAAACTCAATAAAGGTCTTTCACATCCGTTTTATCAAATTTAACGCTAACATTTCTGAAAACCTGTGCCGCTTTATTTACTTATAATATTTGTGTTACCTTAAGGTAAAATAACATTACAAGTCAAATATATGACTGCTTTAAAAATAAACATTTTTAAAAACTTTGTAAAGAGATTTCGTGTTTTTCCTGATACTGTTAATCAAAAATACATTATTTTGAGCATGATGCATTGAATTAGGTAAAGTGTATTTTAAATATTAATTTAAGAAAAAGTAATACTCACAAAGAAGTCTTCTTTGCCGACCGCTATCTCCAAAAACTTTACCCGTAAGCTTGTTCCCGTCATCTACACAGTTGGCGCAGGCCGCAAACGTTAAAATGATCAAACTTATTATCCCAAACATAGTAAGCTCTCTCTTGTACTTCGTTGCTAGTGAGCCAGGGCAATGTCAGGGCTAAACGGCGATTCTAGCTTTTATAGAAGCGCACGTTGAATACGAGTACACCCATACATACGTGGGCTCCAGTTTTAGTTTGGACATTACAGAAAGCTTAAAAGGATATGCTTGTTCTACAGTATCCTACCATGCGATTTAATGTATTTAAATACGTTTGTTGCTTTCTTCTAAGTGATATTTTTGCTGGATAATTGGATTTATGTTCTTGTCATTGGTAATTATAATAAAACTATCTTTGATGATATTTTAGTCAATAATAATCCACTGCCGTAATGTGGTGGCGGTGCATAAGAATCCATTAAGCCTTATCACTCCGTAAGTGTGAGTAAGGGTAAGATATTCAGACGAAATTACAATTATCTCGTATATGTTAAATATAAAATACCCTAATCAATAATGGGAAGCTGAGTGGGATTGTCAATACTTCTCAGCTACGACAGGGCGTTATAGTGTAGTGGACGGATCAAATGAGTCAATACACGCAAATTTACATAGTACACATTGTTAGTTTTTATGTCTGGCTAAATTTTCTTCGTGCTTTATATAGTACCCGTATAGTATCTTATTCCTACTTCTATTCTTCTCACATATAATAGTTTTTTTGGTAGTGATAAAGTCACACTGCAGCTGTATTATGGGTAAGATATAAATAGGTCGCCTCATCGGAAGAAGGGGCACGCTCTCACAGGATACCAGCGTGAAATATTAGCATAATACGGCTGTGTTTCGTAGGACGAGTGTAGAGAGAGAAAACCATAATGCTTTTTTACTGTTATTGAAGTTTATTTAAATTTTAATAGATGATAGACGTAGTATCTATCGGCAACAGTATTCACTAACTATCAGATGAACTGTGCGCACGTTTAACGCCTTTACTTCTAAAAAATCTATCTCCAAAATATTTACAAAAGCATGTATATTTCTGTTATAGCGTGCACCCTTATTTCTTACTTTACCACTCCTTTAAATTTACTAATGGATGTCGGCATTTACACTATTAAACTTGCAATAATTAAAGGCATACAACCTTGAAAACTTTGTACATACACAGGTGTGTATACGTATACGTTCTATACGTGGTAGAGCCATGCTGCAGCTATATTATGGTTGTAGCACGAATGGGTCGGCTCGACCGGGAAAGGACCACACTCTCACAGAATACCAGCGTAAAATAGCAGCTTAACGCTGCTGTGTTTCGTATGGTAAGTGTAGAAAAACGGAGACCCTTTTTACTGGAAACGGGGCATTCCATCTTAGTCCTCACGGGTGACAACGCATCTGCATTTTGATTAGTAATCGAAGATAGATGTAGATGTCTATGGGCCACAGCAACCACTTACCATCAGGTGGACTGTGTGCTTATTTGTCACCCTTATCCTATAAAAAAAACCATCCAGGCAGGCGAGTCCCTGAGAGCAGATGAATTTTGATTCGTTGTTTTCGAATGAATATACTGCCATTTTCAGTCGTCTAAGCCAATTTAGTTATTTAGCGGGGTAGGCACCCCCCAAAAGTTGATTTTTGAAGTATTAGTTGGAACAAGGAAGATCATTTAATTATACCTTGCCTAGTTGACAGTATCTAATACTATTTTCAATTTTAATTATTTTTTATTTAAAAAGCTTAAATGTAACACCTTAAGGGGCTACTCCATGCGAACGACCTTGAGCATTTTGCCGGCGGCACGCCGCTCGCCTCAATATATTGCTTATTTGAAATATGTACGACGCCACCACCTATTGTAGGTACGAACGTAGTATTATTTTTTCAAGATCAATGAACTAATTTATGGAAATACACACAGCGTACAACGATAAATGTATTTTAATTTTTTTATTCGGTATATTAGTTGCATTATATTAGAATTATGTATTTTCATATATTATCTAATTATGAAATTTTATAATTAATTATATATTAAAAATGAAGCATTGAAAATTGTGAGTTTAAAAGATACCTATTCATTATAGGTAAATAAATATATAGCTCGCCTTTTGTACAAATATTTGGTGCAAGAAAGAATAAATAAATAAATAGGATGTTTCGTAGATGTGTTTTTGATTATTGTTAATTTTTACGTGTCACGTATTGAAAAGTAATATACCTAACTACGAGTACTAATACAAAAATCAACAAGAAGTATAAGGGTTCAATCTTTCAATTTCAATTGTAAAAAAACGTTACCCCCACACTAGGATTTTCTCCTGTGTCGTGGAGGCAGTTTACAAACATAAATTGCACAATGACAAACATCCAGACCCGGAACAATTATTTGTAAGCCATACAAATACTTGTTCCGTGCGGGATTCGAACCCGCGGCCCCCAGCGCAACAACTAATTGCTAAGCCACTGCCCCACGTAGCCGTCGCCGGGTTATAGCTAAAGTGACCACACGTCCCGTTTTGAACGGGACTGTCCCTTTTCTCGGTCACCTGTCCCATTGTCCCCAAACAAAGCTCCGGGACACAAAATTGTCCCGTAACTCGTTGAATGGAAGTATTCAAAGTCAACAATCTTCAACATAATTTTTTTTAATCGAATATATTTTATGTCTACCTGGTACGAATGCTCCGGTAGAAAGAGTATTTTTTTTATTTTGAATAAATTGTGGACGTCTGAAAGAAACACAAACAGGTTCCAGAGTTCTAAAGGCGATGTTGTTAACAAAGATAACAATAAAAAAACTTGAGCAGAATTTTATTTTTATTTAAAATCATCACCAACTTTATTAAAGAAAATTTAATCCACTGACAAATGTAATTAATAATTAAGAAAAATATGTTGCATTTAATAATTACCGTCTATACCGAATATAATTTTACAGTGAACACTAATTGTATAAAGTTATAGTTTTTAGAGTATAAATAAACCCATGTCCTGTTTTGAGTTAAAAAATAAATGGTCAGTTTAGTCTTTTTAGTTAAATTTAGTTTTAAAAATTTTTAGTAGTAAAAAGTAGGTATATTAGTACCTACTTAGATACTTTTTACCGAATTATAAGTATAGAACACCTTATGTACTCAATAATTTTTTGAAAAAGAAGAAAAAACAAGCAATAAATAATATACTAAGTATATTTTAGCAAAAAACTATAACTTAGTAATACTAATTATAACTTAGAACATAAATGAAAAACTCATAACTGACAGGGTCCGACCCAGGATTCGAACCCGGGACCTAATGATCAGCAGTCGCACTACTACAACCACTAGACCAACGAGGCAGTACTGTACGTAATAAGATATTGTGGTTGGGTGATAATATTGAATTAGCCTTTTATAGTGTAAATTATAATATTTATCGAAATTTTAATTATGGATTCGAACCTTACATGCCAATGGTGCTTAATTTTTTTATTTGCATTTACTTCAAAGAAAATACACGCAAAAAGCTTCATAGCGCAGTAAAAAACACAACAAATATATGTATAACTAATACGAAAAATTATACCCAAAACAAACAAATAATACTACCTATAAATAACCTAATAAGTAATATTATTTATCGACTGATATTACGTGAGTGTATGCGGCGCTGGTCGACGCTCTAACGACACGGGCTTCGCGTCGAAGAGCTCAGGGCTCACTGACTCTAGCAAGCCCGTGAGCAGTGAATATGCCCAGATTTTAAAATAATTTCTTAATAAAATCAAATTTTGGTCTTTTGAAAAAAAAATTACTATAGAAATGTTTATTAATAAATTGTCTATCCATTGGTGTAAATCGCAAAATAAAATAATACTTACTTTACGAGGAGATCCATGTTATCAATAATAATTTCACATTTATGTGGTTTCGTTGTAAGGAGATTATATTAATATTTATTCGTTTTAAAAAAAATTGGATATAGCTTTTATGGAATCAAGATTATGTAGAAATATAATGTGTTTTTTATTTGTTGATATATCTTTTAAATAAAAAGTAGATAGCTTCTAAAAACCGCACAAATAACGACTAGCGCGACATTTTGCTCAACCTGCGCCTTAAAGCTAAAAGCTAAGAGCGGACATAATGCCATGTGGGCACTCTGCCAGGTAATCCTGGGTGCCAATGACAATTACTGGCAGGTGCACATAAATAAACAATTACGTCAACTCCTATATGAAAAGTAAAATGAATAAGTTGTGGAAATTATTTCTATATATTTTTATTGTTCTTTTGTCATTACTTTTAACACAATACATCCAAGCATCGCAGTAAATTGCTTGTTCGAGAGGGTAGGCTGTTCGACTGAGAAAGGACCACGTTCTCATAGAATATAAACATAAAATATCCACAGTTTCATAAGTGACGAGAATCAGAGACCCTTTTTACTTTTAACGAAGTATTCCATCATATTCCTTAAAGGTGATGACATATCTGTATTTTCGTACTTAAATATGGATATATGTAGGTGTTTATATACCAGGCTGACCGTATCCACTGTCCGCGTTTGACTTCCTTAATTATATTACAAAAAATATACTCAATATGTTTATTAAAATTTTAGGAACATCTTAAAGAGCAAACGTTTCGTTATGCCAACTGTTGCAAACGCTACTGCTTAATCTAGTGAGTCATCAGAATGCGTCAATGTATTAAGATTGTTTGACGTACATCTTGATAAGTACGAAAAGCATATCTGATATTATTCAGATGTATTTTATGATGATATAGTAGATGTTTTCTGGTACTTTGAGTGATCTACAAGAATTTTGTTATGGCAACAAATTTTAATCCAATTACTCATTCAATTTAATTCAAGCGTTCAACGATTATTGATATTTTTTTCTAGAAAATGTTCGTAATGTAAAATTTAATTACTTTATAATATAGTTTTGTATATTTTTGTACATGTTTGTAGAATTTAAATTGTAAATGTGTACATTGCAACAAGCTACGTTAGGTGGGCGTTGGGAGCTGTTTCTTGTTTTTTTGTTACTCGGGTAATTACGCCTACTAACTTTA